CCCCCCCCCCGGTTTGGAACTATTCAAATTAAACTTTTTTTTTGTAAAAGCCAGTTATAAAGGTTGTTTTTTACTAAACTTCAGTTTATAATGCCAGGCAGTGCTGATCCAGATTTAGGGTAACGTTTAATACATTCTCTATTACAGAATGGTGTGAGTGTTTCATTTGTATACTTAAAAACAGATCTCCGGGTAATTATTGACTTGTTTTCTAAGGAATAAGTATGATTTTTAGGATTGTTAATATACTTTCTCTTTTAGTCAGATATTTCTGTTACTGTCTTAAGTTACTGGTCCGTCTGGGGTTTGTGAGGAATGTGAGTACCAAATTACATGTTTCTGGAAAATCACCCTACTATCATCAGTGCTTCAAATGGATTAGAAAAGAGGAAACTCAGTGGTAGCAGACAGACTTGGTAAAGAGGCTGTTGGCAATAGCCCAGGTTAGCGTTAATACAGTCCTAGTTCATATTTCTGTGAACTTCTCACATGTTGTTTTCTGGTTTTTATAATCCTGGTTTTCCATTAGCTAGGTTGGGCAGATAACAGGCACACTGGATCTTTGATTCCTGAGGATATTCATGCATCATCCGTTTTCTTTCCATGGGCCTCAGCACTCCTTGAGTTCATGTAGCATATGTGTCCTTATCATTTGGCATTTGCTTATATTGTCTATAATCTTTCCTACCAATTATAAACTGTTAGACTGTCTTACTCTCTTTTTATCTCCCTGTGTTTAACTTGTTGCACAGGATGAATTATTATGTTATCATTAACATATATATAATATAGTATATGTCATTATTCTGTGTTAGTATTCTTGTTTATTTTGCCTTTGAATGTGTTCTTTGAAGACCCGCCCTTTTTTCCTGTCATTAAAATTGGAATTTTGCACAGTTATTGAGAGCATAGACTATGGAACCAGATTGCTTAAATTTGAATTATTTAGTGAACCTTGTGCAAAGAACTTAACATTAGTATACATCAGTTTCCTTAGCTATACATTGGAGATTTGAAGGTTAAATATATTTTATGTAAAGTGTTTAAGATAATGCTTGACACATAGTAAGTGTTAGATATGTTATGAAAGTTTTAGCTGTTTTATAGATTCATTTGGGAGAAAGTTGAATAACGTCAGTATTAATTTACTTTGCCTATGTTTATATTCTTTAAAGATCTGCCCACTTCTTTCATTACAATGGCCAGTTTCTCAACCTTTCTTTGTTTCCTTGAAATTATAGTTGTCACTGTCTCTTGAGTCATACTATCATGGTAATGAATTAGACCTTTAACAACTGTGTTCACTTTACAGTTTCTTTTGATAAATTGGATTCTAGTGTTCAGGGATATTAATCCGCCTTGTTTGTCCATACCTGTTTTATAATTTCAAAAAATATGACAAACAGTGGGAACACTGACAAAATTTCTTTCTTGGGACACTGATGTCTTTGCATCACCTTGTGCCACACTGTACTGAGGTGGCATTAATCAGCTCCCCTGTGTGATCTGTTGCCTTGATGCCTAATCACTTGACTGATGGCCCTTTTGACAAAGAATATAGCCAGTTTCCTACATCTGAATTACATTTTACAACTGTTTAAATACATCACTTTTTAAAAACAGTTGACACATTTCTTCAAGTGAGAAAGAAAAATGCAGTTTATTTCCATGTTTAAAGTAAGTCTCCATTAATATTACTTTTCACGGAAAATATGTTTGTGTATTTTGAAATTTAAAAAATTTTATGAAACAATTTGTCATTGCAATGACTTTCAAACCACTTGTTTTAAGAATGACTGGTGATAGTGGATAGCAGAAATGAATTTTATATAACAGGCAAGATTTCTTACAATTCTCTTGTGAATTTAATTGTAGAAGCAGGTATGTTTTATTTAATTTGTTTACCTTTTACTTTGTTTTTGTTTTATCCAGGCTGGTCACTGTTTATTATTTTTGTTTACATTTCCTAATTAAAGCAGCTGAAATATTGTATTGTGAAATAAGAGGTCTATTTTGGATAAGCTCTGAAAAGCTCTAAAACTGACATTGTCCACTTGTGTTATTTCATGATCTGCTCTAGGTCCTAATTATGTTTATGTTTGGGAACAGATATGCTTAACTCTGTCCAAGATTGGGAGCAAATGGCTCAGTGTTTGAAAGTACTTAAATCCAGAGTTTCAGTTATGTGCAAGTACTTGCATATTTTAAAAAGGCAGCTGTTTTTCTTTCTTTCTCTTTCAATCAAAATTTATGATATTATATTATTTATAGTAAATAATATTATTCTTTACACTTTTTGGTCAGTATTTCTATTAAAATCTTATTGATTTAAACTGTAAAGAACCTCAATGTCCCAGAATATAAAAAAGGATACTGTACAGGTCCTTCATACCCCAATATGTTAAGAGCAAAACATAACCAAAATGTAAGAAAATAATAGCAGTGAAGTCAAAACAAAAAGTTAATTTTTTAGTATGAGAATAAAGAATGAGTAAATGTCGATAATTAATCTTTGTTGAAAAAAGACAGAGGAAGTAGTGACAGAAGAAATAATAGACTTACATCATTAAGTCAGTTTTTTGACAGGTAGCATTTTTATTTATATGTCAGTTTTCTCCTTTCAGTGTCTTTGGACTGTTGTTTTGATAAGTTAGTGTTTAAACTTTCTTTATATTTTAAGAACTATAGTTTGGAAAGGTCATGTTAACTCATGGTACAACATTGGGATGTTGTTGGTTAGCCATGTATGTTTGTAGGTGGAGGAAAGGTATTTAGGGATAATATAACTGGTTCTTCCATGAAGTCTCAGCTATACCAAAACCGCCTAAGTTAAGAGTAGGATTTCAACTCCAGTAACTCTGTCCTTTGCCAGACACAGGAACATTTTTTCTTCAGTGGCATGAGGTTGTGGGTATAGAATGAGTCAGGAGAGCTGAATAGTTGACATCAATATAGTTAAGTTGCACTAGAATCCATACGACAGAAGCTGAGCTAGGAGTTCAGTTGAAGTTGTTGTGCAAATAAATCTATTGCATTGCTACATAGTCCTATTTTATTGGAGGCAACATTGGCTGAATTGTGCTATAGTCAATGATATTTAGTGAAATTCCTTTAAAACTTTTATAAAATTAAGAAAGGTTTAGAACTGTAATGAAAAGTGAGCACCTCAACGTGTTTTTATGGGAACTATTTTTAATGTGTACTTATTTTCCTTATTCATCTCATCATCAGCTCAGCAAAGCTTCTCATTAAATTATTAACTAACCATTAACTGTTCTGTGAAAGAATATCATAGGTNCTCATTAAATTATTAACTAACCATTAACTGTTCTGTGAAAGAATATCACAGGTAACCCATAAAGAAAGTGTGTCATATAGGGATTGGTGTGCATTTAATGAGTGATTGATATATGCAGAGTACTTCTAGCATATCACCTTAGCCACTTACTAGCTGGCTAATTTTGGGCAAATTACTTCACCTCTAATCTTCCATTTTCTCATGTGTGAAAGGTGGATAAAAATAATACCTATCTCATAGAGTTATTATGAAAATTAAATGAGTTCATATGTGTATTGGTTGGAGTGGGTGAGTCGTCAGTGAGTCTTAGCTATTATTATGTAATCGTAGATCAGTGAGAATTCTTATATAATCTTTAGCCTTGTGGCTAAGCAGAACTCATTGACAAATAATGTCTGTGATGATCCATTTCATTCTTAATTCCTTTAGGTCACTCAGGTTTCTTGCTGGTTATATAATAACTTTGTTGAGGCTGCAAATTAAGTTCTGTGAAGGTAAATAAGGTCTTAGGCTTTGCTTTGAAGTAGCTTATTTAAGAACTTTATAAAATAAAGTCAGAGGGGTGGGTACATTCCCAAGTAACTCTAAAAGAAGGGAGATTTTTAGTTTTTCCCTTGTTTGTTTGTGTTATAAGGAACCTGTATTGAGGTTCATAAGTCAGAGATCATATATGTTTGGGAGATTAGAAATGAAATTGGAGAAACATAATGATAATTTGATGATTCCATTTTTATGTGTATTTTATCCCTTTGTCACCACCCCTCCCTTTCCTGTTTCAGTAATTCCTTTTATATACTAATTTATTTATTAAAATGACATTAATTGCTGTGAAATTCTAGGAAGGGGAATAGCTATAATTTATGAAAAAATTAATTGATAATTCTTTTTTATTTATTTTTAATATCTCAAATCATTAAGTCTCTTCTCACTACTTTTACAGTATAACTTGTTAGCCTTGACAGTTGGGTAAGTGGTAATATGGTTACTAAAGCTGAAATGAAAAATATGCCAAGCTTCTGGGAACAAAAGAACCATCTATAAGCAGAATTGGGTAGCTATGCACATTTTGCCACCACTTGTAATTTGATATGTCTTGATCATGACTTAATCTGGACTTAGGGCCTGGTACAGTTTGAGGGCCTTTCAAGTAGATCTCTTATCATTGTAGACAGAATCACTTCAGAAATAGAAAAAAACAGATTCTGAATAGTTGTCATTGTAAACATCACAAGTACAGGTAAATAGTCTTATCAAGTATATGCTTTATTTTCCTAGTATTGAATTTGACCGGGATTGTGACTATTTTGCAATTGCTGGGGTTACAAAGAAGATTAAAGTCTATGAATATGGCACAGTCATTCAGGATGCAGTGGATATTCACTACCCTGAAAATGAAATGACCTGCAATTCCAAAATCAGGTACCTACATTTTTTTCTTGGCATAATGCAGTCTGTATATAACAATTAGTATCTATAGTTTGAGTTTGTTATTTTACTTTTCTGTGAAACTCCTTACTTATTCATGGTGAACACTATAATTGCCTACAGAGGATACATCAGAATATCTTTCTTAGTAGGTTTGATTGCTTTTCCCCTGTAGTTACTGTTTTTCAGTTTATCAAGTGAAGGCTATTTTTCTTTCACTTAATCAAGTAAAGGTCTTTGTTGTAGATGGCCTTTCATGAGGTGTTGAATAAAGGATTACTGCAGCTTATGAATAGTGTCTGAAAGTCAGGAAGTTTTCCCCTGGTATGCACATCTCTAAATATTATAATTGTTTATAGTTTTAAGAATTCTTTTCATAAGAACATTCTGCTTCTTTTCATTGAGGGCATAATATGCGTGTGTGTGTGTGTATATATATATATATATATGTATGTATATATATATTTTTTAAATATATCTTTATTGATTTCATAGAGAGGAAAGGAGAGGGATAGAGAGATAGAAACACCCATGATGAGAAAGTCATGGATTGGCTGCCTACTGCACGCCCCCAACTGGGGATCGAGCCTGCCACCCAGGCATGTGTCCTGACCAGGAATCGAACCCCGATCGCCTGGATCCTGGGTCGACGCTTAACCACTTAGCCATGCCCGGCTGGGCAAGGGCATAATATTTAAGTTGCATGTACTAGGGGTTAGAGTTCATATTGAGTACAGTAAAATACTGCATTTTTTTACAGTGTTTAAACCTGGGATACTGTTAAAAATTCAGGAACCGGGCTGTATTTCTGGTTTGCAACCCAAAAATCTTAGAGGAATCCTAGAATCTTAATTTTCAAAATAAGTTTCCTAAGCTGGTCTCATGGGCACTGGCTTAAAGGAGAATAATATAAGGAAATCATCTAATAATAAATTATTTAGAGCTTTGAACATTCCCCAGTCATCTTTGTACCCTTTTTATTTGAATGAATGACATATATAGTATGTGTGTGTTTAATAATGTTAATTATATAGTATTACAGTCTTTACATAATTTGTTGTAGCTTTCCTTTTTGTTTTCTAATTCATTCATAAAAATGGTATACTCATAATTTGTGAGTCTGCTCAGTTATCAATGGCAGGCATTGCCCTAAGTGCATTGTCTTAAGCAGACCTATGAGATAGTTACTGTTATTGCCCTATTTTATAGACAAGGAGACTGAAGCACAGAAAAGTTAATGAACTTGCTTCGGATTACACAGCTAGTCTCTGGAGGTACCAGGATTCAAACAGGTAGTTTGGTTCTGGAGTCTGTGCTCTTAACCGTTTTATACTCCACATTTATAAAATGGAGAATGTAAGAGTAATACCTGTTTTATAAGATTGTACTTTAAATAAATCCACATAATGCACTCAGCACAATACTTGGCCCATATCAAGAATTCGTAGCAAATGTTACTTTATTGAAAATGTGGATTAGAGAGTTTATCCGTCTTGACACATGTAAAAATATAGCAATACTTTAGGTACCTTGCAGTAAATGGAGGATGCTTTTCAAGACAGGACACTATGGGCTTAGGGCTCAAAGAATCAATATGTAAGCATATCTAAAACCAGTTTGGAGCAGGGCAACAGTGAATGTGAAGTAAATTACCCAAAGCCACAGCTAGTCAGTGGCAGATCTGGAATTTGAGCTCAGGTCTATCTGAATCCAATTTAGCTCTTAACTGTTCCATGTAATTTCACCCAGAAATTCAAGTAAGTATATTTAAACATGCAAATTAATTCTTCCAATCTCTGAAATTTAGCATGAATGCAACTAGTAGAGAGCAAAATATTTTATTATGTTCATATGCTTGGAAGTCACCTAGGTTAATTGCTTTCAAAGTGGCTTCTTAATATACTATATGCTTTTCTATATGCACAGTTCACATCTGTGTCTCACCAAAAATGTACATTTTTAGACGTTGCATTTGCAATTTTGGAGTGCCTGAGAATAGAAACCATAAATGTTAAAAGTTTAAATCTCACTGTTAAATGCTGTTCATTGGAATTTCAGTCATAAGATTCTGTTGGTTAAGATTTTTTTTTAATGTAAACTGAAGCTCAATTTAAACTAGTTTTTATTGGCTTTTATAATTTGCTACAACTGAATTCAGGGACCTAAACAGTATGATTATGTCATTCTGCTGTGGCATGCTTTGTGCTCCCTTGGCCTCTATTATCTTCACACATGTGTATACTTTCCTCATGTATCAAAGATGGCCACTGGCAGCTTTACGCTCATATCCATCTTTTAGCTAGTGATCAGAGTGAAAAGTGGTATGGGTCATTACTTGGTAGTTTCAGTAGGAAAATATGGGAATTATTTTATCCATTTTATTCCAGATTTGTTGTGAGCAGAAAAATGATTGTGAACTTATATAGAACATTTCAGAAGGGTTCTAATCTTTCTGGCCACATCAAAATCCTTTCTGTCCATTGTTATTTTTACATAAAGTGAGGCTTAAATATATTTCTTTCAGCTGTATCAGTTGGAGTAGTTACCATAAGAACCTGTTAGCAAGCAGCGATTATGAAGGCACCGTCATCCTATGGGATGGATTCACAGGACAGAGGTCAAAGGTCTATCAGGTAAATAAGGATACTAGTTACTTGTTTTGAAAATCAGATTTTCACTTTCTTAATAATTGCAAATCTTCATATGCTTCATAATTTAAAAAATTTAAAGTCACTATTTAGCACTTTTTACACCTATATAATACTAAATAATGCTTTTGGAAGCATCTTCTCAGACTTTTGCATTTGTAGAATGTATCACATATTAGTAAATGCATATTATATATAAAAAGTTTGGGAACTACTTTGCATCTCTTTTGTTTTCATATCCTGTTCTCTCTCCCTCCCACCACAGCAACAAATTGGTATCAAGGTTTGGGGGGTTTTTTTGCTTTATTTTAAGATCTGTATTCTGTCTGAGACTACTTTGTCTTCCTTCTACATCCAGGAGCATGAGAAGAGGTGTTGGAGTNCCTACCACAGCAACAAATTGGTATCAAGGTTTGGGGGTTTTTTTTGCTTTATTTATTTTAAGATCTGTATTCTGTCTGAGACTACTTTGTCTTCCTTCCACATCCAGGAGCATGAGAAGAGGTGTTGGAGTGTTGACTTTAATTTGATGGATCCAAAACTCTTGGCTTCCGGTTCTGATGATGCAAAAGGTACTGTTTGAATCATTTTTCCTTCCCCCCACCCCCTTCATTCCTTTTACTGTCAGACATACAAGTATTTATTGAAACTCACAGCAATCCTTTGTGATTACTGATTGTTCCAAAAATAACCTAAGCCCAAAAATCTTTATCTCTTTTGAAATGAAAGAAAAATAGGTATACTGCATCGTCATTATATTTTCTGGATACATGCCACATGGTGAAATTTTTGTAGCTAATTCCTTTATATATACCATTGAATGAACTTTTTTCACCCTGAAACATTTAGACATCTTTGCATTCTGAATTATATTAAATTTCCAGTGTATACTAAAATTTTTGAATAAAGTTAATCATGTTTCAAGGCAAAAATTCTACATCTTTCTGCCAATTTAGTTGACCTCTCTCTTTTTTCTTTTATATTTATCTTTATTATTTACTCTTTTCTGTTATCCTTACTGTCCTGTTTGGCCTGGTTCTTCTCACCGTTAGATTTATAAAGCCCTATTAACAATTATTTTATCTTAGAGTTAGTAGCCTTAATTTCTTTGTATTTTTTTCCTTCTTTTCTACATGTAACTTCCAGAAGCAGTAGTTGTTGAGGCCATTTTTACTTTTACAAATTATTGTATTGGTATTCCTTAAAATTTTACTATGCCTCCATCCCTAATACTGGTTTTCAACCCCAAATGCACATTAGAATCTCTGAGAGAGCTTTAAAAAACACTAACATTTGGACCTACCTCATCTCGGTATTGTCCTGGATGGGACGTTGGGACCAATCAAAAGATGAATGGGAAGGTTTTTGTTACTCTTATTGTTAATGTTTATTATTCTATTATGCAACCAGGATTGTGACCTATATCCTGAAAACATTTTATATGTGTGTTCTAGTGCCTACTAGGACATTCTGTTTAAAAATGGCATGATGGTTGCTCTCATACCTCACAAGACAACAGCCCATTTTTCTACTTGTGCTTTCAGATCTGACCTGCTCTGATCAGTCTGCTTTCTTCTCCCTATCATTACAAATCTCAGTATATATCACTGGAATGGATTTAGTTATGGGATCGTGTTACCTCTTATTTTACATAGAATATCTGTTTGTTTTCTGACTTTGAAACTAAGCTCTCTTGGTTTCAGTACACTGTTCTATTATTTACTTGTTGCGTTAAAAATTTTTGGTCCTGGTAAATGAAAATGCTTTAGATTAGCTCAAAAACATAGCTGTAGCAATAAGCAAACTTTCTAAGTTACAGAAGCATTTGCTAATGATTGTTTATTTTTATTTTCCTTTATTCTTAGTGAAGCTGTGGTCTACCAACCTAGACAACTCAGTGGCAAGCATTGAGGCAAAGGCTAATGTGTGCTGTGTTAAATTCAGCCCCTCTTCTAGATACCATTTGGCTTTCGGCTGTGCTGGTAAGAAATACAAGTAGATTTGTCTTCTTTTGGTGTTGGTTGAGAATCATGTGTAAGATACAAGGGTGTTGTAAAAACAAATAATTTTCTTTGTAGGTTTAAATTGTGTTTTCATTGTTAGACTCTAAATTAGAAGTGTGCAGTATGCTGTCATTACTCATTTGTTGCTGTGCCTTCATTTCAGTATTTTGTCATAATGTTCAATACATAGGTATGGGTTTGTTTATTTTTGTCATGGTTCCTCTAAGGTCTTGTATGTGTGAATTAATGCTTGCTTATTCACAAACGTAGGTCATGATGCTTAAACCATTAAGGTATATTGTATAGACACAGGAATTTTTTTTATTAAAGGAAACTGATTAATTAGTTCAACAGCTATTTATTGAGTGCCTTCTATGCACAAATTACCTACCTAGGGACAGTGAATAAAACACTTAAAGCCTTATGTCATGGAGTGCTTAATAATATAGTAAGTATTCATAAAAATGCTTGCTGTTATAATAATAGCAAAGAATTTTTTGCTAAAGTACTTTTTTTATACCTAGGGTGACCAAATGTCTAGGTTTTCCTGGGGCAGTTCAAGTTTATACTTGTACCAATGTAATTACTATTACACCTGTAGTTGAACTTCTGCATTGTGAAATCCCCTTGGTTCTTTTTTATTGATAATCTGTTTTTTAAGATAAGCTAGCATCATATCATGAGCAAAATATCACCTTTTAAAAGAGAAAAGCACAATTTAAATCTTAATATGTCATTACACCTTTTCCTCATTCCAATGAATTATTTATTTCACTTGGATACTGACATAATTTCATAGTTAAATTCAAGGAGGGTATGGACTAACATGTATGTGTGGGTAGAATTCTCATTTCTTTAACATACAGAATTTTTGTTCATGATTAAGTGCTATTCTTTTTCATTTGAACTTCTTCCTTATTTAAATTTTTGTTTTGTTACTGACTAGAAATGTGACTTTCACAGTTCTTCACAGGTAAGTGTGGTATTAGCTGTAGGATTTTTGTAGACATCCTTTATCAGCTGAGGAAATGAATAAGTTTCCACCTATTCCTAGTTTGAGTATTTATTATGAATGAGTGTTGGATTTTGTCAAATGCTTTTTCTGCCTCTATTAAGATGATCTTGTGATTTATGTCCTTTATTGTAATAACATGGAACCAACCTTCCTTCTTCCTTTCTTCCTTTTTTATGTTAAACCACCCTTCCATTTCTGGGAAAAATCTCTCTTGGCCATGATCTAAGATCCTATTTATATGTTATTGGATTTGGTTTGCTGTAGCCTTTTTCCTTATGCTGTTTTCTGGCTTTGATAGCAGAGTACTAATGGCCTCATAGAATGAGCTGGGAAGTGTTTCTTCCTTTGTTTACTGAATGAGTTTGTGAAAGATAGGCATTATTTCACCTTTATAGACTTTATCAGTGAAACCATCTGGACTTGGACTTTCTTTTGTGGGGAGATTTTAAATTTCTAATTCAATTTCTTTACTTCTTATAAGTCTATTTAGATTTTTAATTTCTTCTTGAAGTTGGTTTTGATAGTTACTGTCTTTATAGGAATTTATAAATTTAATTTTTTAAATTTGTTGGCATAAAGTTGTTTATAACATTCTCTTATAATCCTTTTAATTTTCATAGTGTCAGTTAATAATGTCCCTTCTTTTATTCCTGATTGGTCATTTGTGTCTTCTCTCTTTTTTCTTGGTCAGTCTAGCTAAATATCTGTCAGTTTCTTCAAGGTGTATTTGTCTGTGTATGTAGGGGTGTGTGTGGATTGGAGGTGCTTCAGGCCAGAACACCACATAATATTCTTACCCAAACTTAATTATTGAAAGGGTTGGATATCTGTAGGCTGAGCCTCCTGGAATGACTCTTAACTCACCATGAGTTCAGATAGGCTAAGAGAACTGTTCTTTGTTTCTCAGCTATTAGAACTTTTGAGATCAAGAACATGATGCCCTTGCTATAACCAAGGGCTCAGAAATCTTTCACTGTATCTGCGACAGAGATAGAGACTGGACACTGGAACACTACCACAGAGAACCTCCTTTACAATGGTGCTTTCAGTGGAAATATTCAAAGCAGAATGACCATAAAATTTCTACCTTGAAAATCTTACATAAGTGTACCTCATTGGTGGAATCTAATTCACATCCAGAAGCATAGCTGCAAGGGGATCTGGGCAGTGTAGTTTTTAGCTTTCCACCTTCCATAAGCTATAAATAGTATAAGGTGATAGGAATGGATGCTGAGTGTCATCGGCCCTAGCCAGCACAGTGAGGTTTGACATGACTTAAAGACTTGTTTTTTGACATTGAAATAGAGGTATCAGAACAGGCATTAATTAAACCAGTAGTCCTTACTTTTCTCACTACTTTTAATTGTACCTTTCACTTACTGAAACATGCCTTTAATCATAAGAAAAACCTTTACTACTAGAAAACAATGACTGTTGTTGAATCATCTTCATTTAGAATTGAAAGATTTCTTTAAATGTAGACTATTATCTACATGTTTCTCTTTAAGCTATAAAACATCACTCTCTAGCTGTACCATTTATTTTACCACTGAGAGCAGTACACAGTCATATTCACAAGATTGCTTATTAAATACCATTTGTAATGATGAATTTGACATTAGGAATGGGCTGTACATTGCTAAACATTGCTTTTGGAGTTATGAGAAATAGATAATTAGTATGTGAGCTACCTACCAATTATATTTTGACTTCCTGTTACAAGGACACTGTGGATCCTACTTGGGTAGTGATGCATTGTGCTAATTCCAAGCTTCTCTGCCGTCTGTACCGTCGTTTAGATCTTATATTTCCGTTTCATGTAATGAATTCATTTCTCTCTGTTTTTTTACTTCATTATTTTATTCTTTTATCGTAATATAAAATGATGTCTAGTTGCTCTTTTTTGTTGTTGATTTTTTTGGTTTTGTTTTTTTACTGGAGCTTATACCATGAAGTTTCTCAAGGTGGACTAAAAAACACAAGCATTTCTGTTAAAATAGCAAATCCTAAGTCATGGTCTCCTTGAAAATAATAGATTAGGAATTTTAAACTACCTCTTTGTGATTAGTATTGAGAAAAAAGCTTTATAAATCATTTAAAATCTATTCCTAAGCCCTGAGATTATTCAGAACATGCTTTTACCAAAAGAGAGGATATTTTTAACATAAAGGTAAAGGTGTTTATTAATTGTCTGTTACTTGTTTAACAAGGACATTTTCTTATTGTGTAGGAAAAGGCAGAAAACAACTTTTTCTCCAGCTTATATTCTCTAAAGCCAATTTGGGAGAGCCATTGTAAGACTAAAGTAAATAGAACTCCTAGCAATCTGTGGTTTTAATAAAATATTAGAGTTGCTTGCATGCTAACTTGAATCATCTTACAATTTTTAAAATTGTAATTATTGTAACAGGAAATATGGGTACTTTTAAAGTGTTCTACTTAAAGTAATAATAGTCGCCACCACCACCCCGAAATTAGTGATATAAGTCAAAGATAAAATTAGTATTAATCTGTTTCAGAAGTGGCATTTATGCTAATAACATATTCACTGGGAAGAAATAATGTTCCTAGAACAAATAAACAGAAATTCTGAAATATTCTACTTAACTGTGTTATCAGTAAACATAGTTTTGGTTACTGTTACTCTCAGTAAGCTAATCAGTTCACACACATAAATACCATTTGTTTTCCCATTTTCACTACTTTCTAGTTGTTGTGATTTGGCATAGGATAGCTCAGTCTTCAAAAGGAAAAAATAAACCTTTCAGGGTTTGGAGGGTTGATTAATTTATTGCCCTTACTTGAACACTTTTAGCAGCTTCTCATTGCCTAAAGAATAAATACAGATTCTCTTGCTTTCTGTTCTAGGCCTTTCATGGTCAACTTCAATATTCCTTATATGTTACACATGTTGTTTAATTTCTGAACATTTCGGTCAAAAGAATTTTTATAAAGCTGCTTTCATGAAGACACTTGATTCTCAGTAAAGCTATCTGAGCTATCTTATATTTGTGGCTTAAAAAAAAATTACCTGCATTTAAGATTGTTTATATTTAATTATACAAATAGTGTAAGATTATATCCTCATTCTCAACTTTTATATGTTATAAAGCTTAAGTTCCCCTTGATCAAACATTATTAAACAAACTCCCTCCTCAAAGGTACTACTGGTGATAGTTTTACAGGTATCTTTCCACAAATACATAGTAGTTCTTCAGGAGGCCAATAGTATTTTTCTTTATTTAGACCTATATATATAATTTTAAATCAGAGTAGATTCTGAAAGATGAATATCTGTACTATACAAAACACATACAAATTTAGAATATCTTTAGATCTCTGAAGTTAGTTTATGGACTACCTTCTGCTCTCCTCCCTCTTCTCCCAACATCCCTGTCACCAAAATATAATTAATTCTTTCAACTTGAGAACCTGGTGTTTAGTTTAAGTAGCTATGACACCTAATTTAATTCATGATATAGAGTTAACATAGAGAAATTGAGTAAGGTAGATATGTAATTGCTCAGGGTGACTTTTACTATATTTTCCTGTCTTATCTAAGTAATGGGAAACATTTTAGATTTGTTAGGTTTATAAATCTGCCTTGTCTTTTATACAGCATTTGCCAGTGGGGATGATGTTTTTCCTTCACATTTAAATAAATTGAATGTCTGAATATTTATTTAATAAATCTTGATTAATGTCGTAACATTCATGAACATGTGTTTCAGCTATCTATACTACATAGATAATGGGGGGAGGGGTGAATATCAAGGACATTTTATTTTTAAGTTTCCAAGTAATTTGAGTGAACTCATATGGAAGTGGCATGCATAAAGTCAGTATTCATGAAACAAATTATTCTATTACTTTGTCATACATAAAATGTATTTTTTAGAGTGCTAGAATCTAAAAACAACTTTGAAGCATCCAGTAAATCTTAAATCTATGTCTGTCTTGCCTTCCAGCCTGTAATTAGCACTCTAGTTAGATCTTTTAAAAAATGAGCTTCACAAGAAATTTTATATTTATGGTAAATGCAGAGATATTTTAAAGTCAGGCATCTTTTACTTAGCTGTTAACTAATATTGAGTAATCACTATGAACACTTGGAAAGTATGAAATACATGATATGATTTTGAGGGAAACCATTAAAATAATAGAACCAAAGTACAAAATCCAAACTATTACTGGGAGAAGAGGGGAAGGAGTAAAATGTTTGCCTAATCCAAAAGCAAACAGGAAAGGGAACGTGGGGGGAAGCATAGAAAACTTGGGCTAATTTTTTTTAAAAGACCCCAACAAAATAAGCTCATTGATAGAAATTCAAATATATCTAATTATAATAAATGGAAATGGATTAGCAAGTCCAAATAAAAAAGACAGTTAAACTGTTCAAAGTGCAATACTATACTCTTTATAAGAGACGCATTTAAAACAAGGATAAGGAAAAGTGAATGAAAACAGCTTTATTGAGTGCAGGAGTAGATACCTGACAAAGATTATATTGCATAGGAGTTTGGAAAATATGGAATTTTTGGACAGTTGATATGGGGAAATGATGGTGTAATTCTACCTTATGAAATACACAAAACCAATTCCAGGTGATCAAATGACCTAAATGTGAGCAGCAAAACTATAAACTGTTTATAAGACAGTATTTAAGAGAGAATATCTTCACAATCTTGTTGCAGGGAATGCCTTAAGATACAAGAACTATGAACTATAAATGAAAGGTAGATAAACTTGGCTATTTTAAAAGTTAATACTTTTGTTCATCAAATAATACCTGAAAGAAATAATTTTTAAAAGCATTAATTGGGGTGAGATATTTAGAACACATATACAGAATACACAAAGAACTCTTTCTAGTAAGATAATAATAAATGTACTCTATAGCCTTGCTACTCACAGTGTAGTCTGCCCAGTGGAACAAATTGAGAACCCAGAAATAAACCCAAAACCATCATGCATCACCGCTGGGAATGTAAAAATGGTGCAGTCAACAATTTGTCAGTTTCTTTAAAAGTTAAACACAAAATCTAGGCATTTCCCAGTAATTACACTTTTATAGGTATCTCCCTAAGATCTGAATACATGTCCACAGAAAGACTTGAATGTGATTGCTCATAGCAGCATTATTAATGATAACCAAAAAAAAAAGTGGATAGACAAAATTGGTATATCATATACTGGATACTCTTCAACAATAAAATGGAAAAAACTGCTGACACATGGTAAAGCATGGATGAATTTCAAAAACATTATGTGAAGTATAAGAAACCATACAGAAGAGCTATGTATTATAATGATTCCATTTATGTAAATTGTCCAGGAAAGGCAAATTTATAGATAGGTAGTTACATTGATAGCCCAGGGCAGTGGGTGACAAATGGGCATGAGGGATCTTACTAGATGAGGAAAATGTTTTAAAACATTTATGGTGATGGTTACACCACTGAGTAAATTTAGTGAAAATCATTGAATTTTATTCTTACCATTTTTATTATATGTACAATGTCTCTCAAGAAAGTGTTTTTACAACAGCAAGTGTTGGAAATAAAATTATATAGCATTATGTTTAGCAAGAAGCCCAAAATATGCTTTTTAATAAAGCCATCAAAATTTAAGATTTGGTTTTAAATTTCCAGTTACTTTGAACCCTTAGGAACTGTCAGTGGAACTTCTGAATTCCCTTTCAGACTGACATTGGCATGTGTGTATGTTTATGTTTTTTAATGCAACCATATTTTCCTAGATTTAAAAAAGAAAACCCATTATATCTTCCTTATCTTTGAAAATGAGTCATAGCCCTTAGTTTTCTATTAACAGGTTGACATTGTCCATGAAACATTTGATAACACCAAAACCAGTTAAAATTAGCTTTGCTTCCCACTTCTTCATTTACTACATTTTTCTGTTTTGTTTTGTTATAGATCACTGTGTCCACTACTATGATCTTCGTAACACTAAACAGCCAATTATGGTATTCAAAGGGCACCGAAAAGCAGTTTCTTATGCAAAGTTTGTGAGTGGTGAGGAAATTGTGTCTGCGTGAGTATTACTCTTTTCAGAGGCTGAACTGAGCATAGAGCTCTGTCATCCTTACCATTTTGTAATGTCACCATGGATATGTATATAAAGAGTAACACCGTGGGTGTGTGCACTTTTTCTTAAATAGTAGATTTTTATAACTTGCCTAATTAAAGTACATGCATATTCTGATCTGTATTGCTCACTTTAATATGTAAGTTGTGAATTAAATCCTGATTATACTAATTTTTAATGTCGCCCCTTAAATATTTGAACTTCCGATTGAATTTTAGCCACTGCTTCTCTGGAAGAAGAAACAACATAGTTGAGGAAATAGAATGAGAAAGTGTTTTATTTAAGCCAACTAATGTTATTCCATATATATATCTACATTGCAATACTGTAATATTATTTTTGGTTTAAGTAATAGTTGGTTGACTTTTATGATTCCATGTTACTTGATCTCCTTATGATTTCATGGTGAGTTTTACATGTGTTTTGAAGAGAACTTTCCCACTATGACTGCTTATACCCTGCAAATGCCCTTTTAGAACCGTCTGACCTAGGGACTTATATATAGTACAGTTTTTAGTTGTCTTTTGTTGAAGGTAACAAGGTGTCAATCAGGTAAATAAATCTCATTTGCCAAAATATTGTTGACAAAGCTTTTCTGCTACCGGAGACAGTCCTTTCTTTCTGTGATCCGTTTTATAGTTCTCTTTATTCGGTATTACCCTAGTAAATACCCATTCTTAATATCTCTCATTTTCATATTTATCATTTCTTCTCAAGCTAAATGGTATATTGTTTTCTTTTTTCACTTAGTTTCTAATCTCTCTTAGGAAATTATTAATGCCAGAGCCTTATATTTGGTATTTCCCACCACATCTTCCTTCATGCTGTTTGCCCTAGATAAGAATTTGGTAATTTGAATTGAGTTACAAAAAAGGGAACAAAAGAAAGTGGGAACTGAGCTTTACAAGGGGAGTAGTATAGGTCATTGGTTCACAAATCTAAATTTGTAACCAGTCAAAAAACATTCTATCATTAGGAGTAATAATAGACAATAAATAATTAAAATTTTATTCAGATTTAAATACGATAAAAATATTTTTCTTTAATTTCAGATTTATGTATGTTGAATCAGTTTGTTTCAACTAAAGTATATGTATACTCAGTTGTATATATTGGACATCTTAGTTGACCTTATTAACGTGGATATATTGTTTGTATTTTTACTAATTTTTTAATCTTAGTTTTTATAAATCAAGATGATTTTTCTCTTCGACATACTGGAGTTTAGAAATATTTAGAACAAATTCATTACAAGTATACTTGGAAATATTGAAAAGTAAGATTAAAATACACACATTGCTGTAACCTCTGAAATCTTGGCCAATTAAAAAATATATATACACATAAAGGGATATTCATAAACCAAATTTAAAACAACATAAATACCTAAGAATAGAGAAGTATTTCAAGAGTTTAGGGTTTGGTCTCTGAAATAAGATTCAGTCTTGACTCTACTATTTACTAGCTGTGGTACCTCAGAAATGTCTTCAACCTTCTGAATCTCAGTTTACTCATCTATAAATAATAGTACTAATCTTATGTTTTGAGTCCTTAAATAAAATAGTGTATGTAAATCACTTATCATGGTTCCTTATTCTATGAATGTTAGAGTAAGAAAAAAGATGATTTATTGTGTAGTCATTAATAAAGTAATTATTTTACAGCAAAAAAATAACTCAAATTTATGAATGAAGGAGAAGCAATTTACAAAATGTGTGGTATGATCCAGTTTTTTTTTTAACAAAGAAAAACAAAACATGTAGTTTTAAGTCCCGAGACTGTCTCTCTATAATAGAATTACCAGTGATTTCTATATTAGTTATTTTTTTGGTAAATAACTGCATTTGCATATTATTTCAGTAAGATAAACTACTTTATATAGACCATTCAACAATTTATAGTATTCTACCCCTGCGGGTACAGCTAAGCTATGAATATAGTTTATATTCAGTATACAATTCAAGAATTGAAAAGTAAACTAACCCTAGCCAGCTGGGCTCCGTGGTTAGAGCGTCGGCCTGCGGACTGAAGGATCCCGGGTTCAGTTCCAGCCAAGGGCATGTACCTCGGTTGCAGACTCATCCTCGCCCTGGTCAGGGTGCTTCAGGAGGCAGCCAGTTGATGTGTCTGGCACTTCGGTCTCTCTCTCTCTCTCGCCCTTCCACTCTCTCTGAAAAGCGAGGGAAAAAAATATCCTCGGGTGAGGATTAAAAAAAANAGCCAGTCGATGTGTCTGGCACTTCGGTCTCTCTCTCTCTCTCTCTCTCTTGCCCTTCCACTCTCTCTGAAAAGCGATGGAAAAAAATATCCTCGGGTGAGGATTAAAAAAATTTTTTTTTAAGAAAAAGTGAATCAAACAGGTGGAACAAGTTGTATCTGTGAAATTAGCACAGCTTTCAATAGAGCATTCTCATTTGAGGGTGGTGGTATGGTGTTACGAATGATATTACTAATGCTTAGAGATTATTAAAAGCATTTTAAATGAATTAATTTCATTTTCAAAATTTTATAAGATTCATCTAATACGATAGGGTAAGAATCATTATATCTCACATTCAACTGATGAAAAAAAACTTAGGCCAGAGAGGTTGTATAACTTTCCCAAGGTTAAAAACAAATTAATGGCATACTAAGCATTCCAACAGGCTGGTTTCAGATTTTGCATTCTTAACCACCAAACTAGATTGCCTGTAATTAGTAGTGATGAGTTTCTGCCATGAAATCTTAAATGTGTTCTAACTTTTTGTGTTTATCTTAGCTCAACGGACAGCCAGTTAAAGCTGTGGAATGTAGGGAAACCATACTGTCTACGCTCCTTCAAGGGTCATATCAATGAAAAAAACTTTGTAGGCCTCGCTTCCAATGGAGATTACATAGCTTGTGGTAAGTGAAACTGTCTTTTCCTAGATCTTTTTAACAGGTGTCTGTTACTGAAATTGCATTCAGTGGAACTATAGTACATACCAAGTCACGAAATGATCTCTACACTCAGAAAGTAGCATATTGAATTTTCCTCAAATTGTTCTGCATTAGTCCGTCCCTTCTGAACTGAACAATAACAAATCCTAACCGCATGGAATAGCATAAGATTTTTAAATATGTTGTTTTAGTTCTCCGTTATATAGATATTATGTAAAAGACAGAAAATATTAATTTTTGCTAATTTTGGAGGCATTATTTATGTTCTTGAGCTAGATAGTCATTTTCCCCTATAAAGTGTTTTCTTCATTAAGCAATCTATTGGAGTAATCTTGATCTGCTCCTGTGGGGCTTTTATTGTTGATAATTTATACATTTTAAAATCAGAAGTAGAAAAATCAAGTACAGTATTGTTCAACTGCTCTAATATATGTAATGCCTGAATATATGAACTTTCATCAGTACCTTCAAATCACTTGGCCTTTATTGAATAAAATTGACTCTCCACATGTATGTGAACCTAAACCCTGCCAAAGCAAGTCTCTGCATAATTATCCAGCTTCTCATAGGCTGCTCAAAAAACAGGTTTCTAGACCGCTCACCTAGTAGAGTAATGCCTTTATTGGGGAATGGCAGATAACTTTTGTAGGTTATTAAAATTTGCCTTTATAGGTGCAATAACTTTCTTTTTCTTCTCTAGATGAAATTGTTCTGGATATAATTAAAGATTCATGCAATAATAACAAATTTTTGATTCTTCTTAGGACCTTTCCCAGAAATGATGTTTATATGGTAATTTCAGCCTTAGAATTCCCAGTGTTGTCATTCAGCAGTGATTATTTCTTTAGATTAGTGAAGTGTAGCTTTTTTCTGTGGAATCTTTTCTAACATGATTCCCATGAGGTTCTATGCTCTGGTCTTTCAAACTTAACCATAAAAGATACTAGTCTTTGAGTTTAAACACTGAATGGTAAAGTAACTTATGAATGTGCTGTCCTTATTCTGAGTTATCCCATTCTAAAAAACTATTTATTTATTTTTTTCAACTTTTTAGGAAGCGAGAACAACTCTCTTTACCTATATTATAAAGGACTTTCTAAGACTTTGCTAACTTTTAAGTTTGATACAGTTAAAAGTGTTCTTGACAAAGACCGAAAAGAAGATGATACAAACGAATTTGTCAGTGCTGTGTGCTGGAGGGCGCTGCCCGATGGGGTGAGTTTTCATATCAGGTTTTTTCCCCCCCACCTTGGTGTCCTATATAATTCTTTATGTTTATGTATATACAGGTGAGTTTTTTTAAAGTTTAAAATATAAATTGATATGTGATATGCATTTTTTTTTTTTTTGCTTAGCCTTGCATCGCTAAAAGAAACAAGCATTTTAGGTATTAATGGAAATGTCACTAATGGAAGTGTCATGCTTACATGATGTTTCTCCTGTGTACCTACAGCATTTTGTGTATACCTCTGTACAGCCATTATCACAGTGTCTCTTTATAGCTCTTCTATAAAACTGGAAATTTCTCCAGAGTATATACTGTATCTTATTTTTCTTTATGATCACATGCAGTATATGCTTAATAGATATTTATCTGAACCTGGTATTAGGAAGAAAAAGGTTTGATGTAGATAAAGGGGAATGGTCTATTATATACAACTAATTAAATACTATTTCAGGGTAGAATTGCTTTCTACAAAATACATATATACAAGAATATTTAAACATTTAATTTCTTAAGAAAGTTGCACTTCTAGGTTGCAAAAAAATGTTTTCTCCAACTTGTCACTTATTCAAACATTTTTAAAGTACGTGCTTTCTAATAAAGTATATGAAGAAATAATTTATCTTGATTTTTGTAAACATTAGTCATTCTTTAATGTCATCTTTTTTAAAAATAGAATTTTAGGTGCTTGTTTGGTTGGTTTTATTTTTGACAGAAAAAATTCTTGATGGTTATAGTAAGATATCTGAATTCCAGGTACAGTTTAACTTGAATTAGATATATTCCATTGCTATATTGTTTAAAGTTCTTCTACTCAATTTTTAGCTTTGGTAATGGCAGACTAAGTGATTTGGACCAGTCCTCTAAGTAAAACTAGAAAANTGGTAATGGCATACTAAGTGATTTGGACCAGTCCTCTAAGTAGAACTAGAAAGGGGACCAAGTATATGTATTTTAAAAACAAAAATCTGTTTGAAGACATTGAGAAGTAAACAAGATAGAAAAGAATTACCAGCCTAGAAATGTGAGCCTGACTTTTGAGTATACTTTTTGCCTGGGAGCATTTCCCAGTTTTGGTGAAATGGCGGAGAGCAGTTACGGTAGCTTCAAAGGGGCACAGGTGTCTAGTGCTTACCCCACTATATTGGTTAATTCTTTTGGTTTAGGTTCTCAAAGGGCTGTAGTCTAGGGTACCAGTAGAAGAAGATAAGCCCTCACAGTGATTGCAGCTCAACTTCAAATCGTATCAGTCCTGAAATTAAAGGGAAATGATCCTGCATTGCTAGAGTCCACAGAATGCAAAATTAAGTCCTTTCTGAAAGGTCTTCTAAAGAAGATCATCTGAAGATTTCATTTATTTTTTTCAAAATTGCAAATGCAATAACGGGGGCACAATAAAAAAATAAACAGACCTAGGAAAAAGCAAGGCAGCATGAATACATCCAGCAGAAGCAATGGACAGTAGAAACAAAAGTCACAGCATCTCTGGATATTGGATTTATCAGACATAGTTTGAAAATATCCATGCTGATGAGATTAAAGACAATATTGAAAATTTTAACTGGGAACTAAAAACTTTTTAAAATGAAGATTCTAGAGCTGAAAATATATAATTAACAAAATTAAGAACTCAGGATGGGTTGAATGGAAGATAAGACACAGTTGAAAAGAGAATTAATGAACTGATAGGTAAGTTAGAAGAAAATATACAGAAGTAAGCATGGAGAGATAAAGTGATGAGAAAATACAGAAAGGAAATAGAAGATGAAGAAAGTTTAATATATTTAGTAGGAGACCTAAAAGGAGAGATGAGAAATAATACTGCTGAAGCAAATGTTAGAAAAGATTGTTGTTAAGAACTTGACAGAATTGATGAAAGACCTCAAGGCAGAGATTCAGTAAGCCTTTGTATCCCAGAGAATAAATGATTTGCAGTCTACAGTGTGAGATGAGATTTAATATTTAACCTGGACCTCGAGTAGACCTAGGTCTGCCTGAAAAATCTGACCTTGGGTCTGCCTTCTCATATGGAAATAAATTGAGTTTAGACAAATGTGGAATGTTATGTGCTAGTTATCTTAAATTTACTCTGAAACTTCATCTGTGGTATTTCATCTGAAGTGAGAGAACTGTGAGTTGGCATATAGGCCTTTATTCAAAGTGAAGAATATAAGACTAGCAGGAAAACAAGGCACACCTCTGTATGGGGGTTTACCACTTGCACCTTAACTGCCCTTGGCAACTCTGTGTACTCTGTGTGAGTTGGGGAGAAAGCCAAGAAACTGTGCATGTAAATAGTTGCTTGGCCCCCTGATGAGTTTGAAGGCACTGTGCATGCTCAATTTCTCATCCTATATCCTTCTGTAAAGCTAACTAACTTAGTGCTAGATTAAAGGAGTCGTATCTGATCCTGTGACCCCCCTCCTGATGGTGGGACAGTCATAACTTGACACATAGTAAAACTGCTGAAAATAAAATACAAATGGGATATTTTAAAAGGGCCAGAGGAAAAGTAGTCTTCAAAGGACCAGCAATTAGACTGACGGCCAACTTCTTTTTTTCTTTTTTTTTTTAATATATCTTTATTGTGTGCTACGCAAACCAGCAGTATCAGCATCACCCAGGAACTTGCTTTATTTCACAATAAAAAGATTAAAAGTTCTATAACTCACTTCAGATTGCTTTAAATATGATTTTTATATAACTGTCACTGTTATTAACCACAAAAGTAACTATTTTCTTATTTTAGATGAGGCAAAGGGTATGAAAGACTCCTTTGTTCATTTATTCAAATATTTATTATGTGCAATCACAGTACTAGACACTAGAGATAAACTGTGAACAAAACTGTTAAAAAAGTTCTGGCCCTCATAGGCTACTTAGAATTTTATGTGCTGAAGGAGACTGAAAACAAAATAAATAGGTTGTTATATTAGAAGGAACGAGTGCTTTGGAGAAAAACAAAGCCAGAAAGTGGGAGAGGGAGTGCTGGAGTAGGGAGCTTTAGTTTTAAATCGGTGGTGACAGAATGCCTACCTGAGCAGCTGACTTAGAGCAAAGACTAGGAGATGAAGGCATAATCCATGTTTAAATGTGGGAGAAGAGTATTTCAGGCAAAGCAAACAGTTCAGATGCTTTTAAGTAAGAATGTGATTAGTGTTCAAGGATCAGAAAGAAGGCAGGTTGCTGCACTACAGTGAGCTAGGTGGAGAGTAGCAGGTATTTCAGAGTGGTGAAGAGGAGCTGTTTCAGTAGAGCTTTGTTTACCATTGTCAGGACTTTGGCTTTTACTAGGAGTGAGTTGGGAACCATTGTAAGATGTGTCCT